AAAAGAATCATTTCACAGTTTACTTGTTAATCAAAAAAGAGGAAACGTATACCTGTAAAGAGCCATCTGGCAGTCACCACCATAAGTAAGTCATCAAATCTAAACATTGCTAACAGAGGGGCAACTGGACATTGTGTTATTTCTGATTTAATATGAAGTACACAGCATCACTGCAAAAGAATTCTTGCCAAAAATGCTTACCTAACTCTAATAAAACCTTTAGACTTAACTTCCAGTTTATAAGAAGCACTGAAATAGAGGAACAAATTAGCCATCACCATGAAGAAACAATTAGACAAATCTAAAATGTAGGACATTCTACAAGACAATTCCTGGTATCTTCAAAAATTCAGTATCATCTTAAAAAGAAAAAGACAAGAAATAGAGGGACTGTTCTAGATTAAAAGAGATTAAAGAAACATAACAAGCAAATGAATTTGTGAATTTTGACTGGATCCAAATAAGAAAAAAACAGCTATGAAATACATTTTGAGCACAAATGGAGAAATCTGAATATGGATAGAATATTAGATGCTATTAAAAACTATTATTAATTTTCTCAAGGTATGATAATGGTATTGGTGTTATATATAAAAAATGTCCTTATTTTTAGAAGATGCATACCAAAATACTTAGGGGAGAAGAGTCATAACATCTACAATTTTCAAATGGTTCAGCAATAAAGTACATATATATACAGAGAGAGGTTTTTTTTAGTGTATATATGCATATATATACACACACACATACATATGTAATCTTAAACATGATAAAGCAAACATGGCATATATGTTTAAAAACAATGCCATTAATATTAAATAGTGAGAAATGAGTCTTCCCTCCCATCTTATACTCCCTTACCTCTGCTCAGAGAAAGAATATTCTTATTTTAAAATTCAAATAATTGTTAACAAATATTGAGTAGCTCCTACGACCCAGGCAGTGTTCTAAGCATTCTACATGTATTAGTTCTTTAATCCTCAAAACAGCTCTATGAGGTAGGCACTATTATTTATCCTCATTTAACAAAGGAGAAAAATAGGCCACCAGCTCACATAGCAGGGAAGCGGCAGAGCAATGATAATTTGACCCCAGGACACAAGGCTCCAGAGCGTGGCCTTTTACCCACTTCTCAACACTGCCTCTGAGCGCATGTTCCATGCAGTGATGTTCGGGTCTTGGAGATTCTTCCACGCCAGCACATTTAGATCTACCTTACTCATTGTAATGGCATGTGTAAGAGTCTATAAAATGGACCAGTTAGTTAAATTAGTCCACTACTAATACACATTTAGGTTGCTCCTCAATCTTTGGCTATTTTAAATAATGCTGTTATAATCTTATGCATATTTCTTTGGGCACATATACTAGTATTATTGTATGATATTCCCAATAAGGGAATTGCTGAGTCAAAGGTTACATACACTTTTATATTCTGATACACTACCAAAGTGCTCATCAGAAAATAGTATCAACTTATTCTCTCAGCAAAAGTGCATTAAAAGTGCCTTTTCAAAAAAAAAGTGCCTTTTCCCCCACAATCTAAGGGACACTATTAGCTCTATGCCAATCTAGTAAGTAAAAAATGCTAAATGATTTTTGTTTATATTTGCATTTCTTTAATTATGAATAAAGGTTAGGCATCTTTTCAAATGATTATAAGCCTTTTTTTGTGAACTGCCTATTTATGTTCTTTGTCCATTTTTATATTAAGTCTTTTATTGATTTGTAAGAGCGTTTTTATATATTAAGGAAATTAGCTCTTCTTTATATATATTACTGGTATTTTTTCTGGTTTGTTATAAAATATATTTTGAGAGGTTATTTTACTCACACTAAAGTAACTGTTGCTAAATTTTACAACTTGCTTTAATTAAAAAGCTAATCCTAGCAAGCCTGGATTCAAAAGACTTTACCAGGTGTTTCAAGCATCTCTGGTATGCTTACTGCGGGTCAGCCACTACGCTAAGCAGTTTCCATGCTTTACCTCAAGTAAACCTTCCCCCATTCTGAGAATTCAGCACAGTTATAGCCACACTTACAGCTAAAGACAATGCGGCTAGGAGATGTTTAGTGCCTGACTAAGGATAAGCAACTAGTGAGTAGTACAATAGGTGGACTCAGGCTCGAATCTGAGCCTGCCTCCAGAGCTTGGGCTATACTGTTGTTTATACTGTCACTCTTTAGCCTTTAAGCTAAAACATACTTGGTACACATCAAAACCAAAGGCTACTTAGGAAAAGAAAAAGAAAGAGGCACTTAAGTTGGCTTTTTTCAAATAATGTATTCTGCATCAATTTTCTGAAAAGCAAATTCCTTACTCACCCATCTCATTTGCCCTTGAGCCTTGACCTGAATGTCAAATACTTAAAAATATATTTTTTATACTGGCTGAAAAACAACTTGCTGATAAAAGTTGAAGTCATTTAGTGGTTCACCATAGGAAAACAATTATTTAAAAACAAAGAACTTTTACCAGTGGAGAAAGGACAGCCACTCCATGGAAGCGAATTAGTGAGATGCTTTCAGATTGAGCAGGTAGAAAGCTCTCCCTGGATAGTGATGTTTCTTGGATTCTGGTGAGACTTTTCTCACAGAACTTCTCATACTCCTCCATTTTCCCACAATCACACTACAAGAGAGAAAAATGCCATTTTTAATGTGCTGAGAAAAACAGATCTTAATTTTATTTGACAAATCTTGTAGAGCACTGAAATATTCCCAGAATTCACAGTTTTTAGAATTGGCCTTCCCAGAACTGTTTTCACTGATCAGAAGCTAATTCTTGGGTATAGGAAGTTACACCAAGATTCCACCCAGGTAAGCCTTCCTTCATATATTAAATATTTCTGAACACTCTCATGTAAATCAATCTTTAAATGTAATTAGTTTAGAAAAGTACAAGGAATGCACCAGTAAAACCTTCTTAAAGGAAACAAAGTTTTATGCCACTTTACAAAATTTAGATTGTAAAAAACATTAGATTTTCTTTCATTGGACTTAGCAACATGGCACAAGAAAAATTATACCATACAAAGAAGAGATGATATTGTTACAAAAAAGAAAAAAAGAAACTAAAAAGTCTATTTAAATACAAAGAGGATATTTATTTTTGTAATCTTTTTCTACTAGGGAGCACAAAGGTCATTACTTGCGTATCTTAAGAATATATTTTGAGCATCTGGGGTCTTAAAAGCTGGCTAGCAGCCATCTAAGATGCATCAATTGGTCCCAATCCACCTGGAGCAAAGGAGAAAGAAGAACACCAAAGACACAAGGAAAGTATTAGCCCAAGAGACAAAAAGGGCCACATAAACCAGAGACTTCATCAGCCTGAGACCAGAAGAACTAAATGGTACCCAGCTACCACCAATGACAGCCCTGACAGGGAACTCAACACAGAATCCCTGACAGAGTGGGAGAAAAGTGGGATGCAGAACTTAAATTCTAGTAAAAAGACCAGACTTAATGGTTTGACTGAGACTGGAGAGACCCTGGAAGACATGGCTCCCGGACTCTCTGTTAGCCCAAAACTAAAACCATTCCTGAGGCCAACTCTTCAGACAAAGATTAGACTGGACTCCGGGATGTAAAATGATACTTGTGAGGAGTGTGCTTCCTAGCTTAAGTAGATACACAAGACTAAAATGGGCAGCTCCTGTCTGGAGGCGAGATGAGAAGGCAGAGAGGGTCAGGAGCTGGTTGAATGGACATGGAAAATCCAGGGTGGAAAGGAGGAGTGTGCTGTCACAGTATAGGGAGAGCAACTAGGGTCACATAACAATGTATGTATAAATTTTTGTTTGAGAGACTAATTTGAATTTTAAACTTTTGCTTAAAGCACAGCAATAAAAATAGTAATAATAAAAAAAAAAAGAATATATTTTGACTCCAAGGGCACTAACTGACTTGGTCAGATAGGAAAAACAAAATCTATTGGCTCTGGTATTAACCCTATTACACTGCTGAAAACTAACACTACTGCCAAATTTCACAATTTCTGGGAAACGGTGATGGTGATAATGAAAATACAAGGTAACCAGGAAGGATTAGCCACCACAGTCATTTGTCTAGCAAGCATTAAATATTTATTGATTGCCTGTTAGCATAGCATTATGTGTGGTGCTGTTTCTTTTAAATAAGCACAAGGGAAAAATAATGAAGAGAGACAACATCATAATCGTAACCAGTAGGAGTACAAAAAACAGAAAAAGTAATACGATGTTCCTTTAAGTGTTCATTTTTAAAACAATTAACTAATTAACAAAAAAAAAGAGAGAGGGTAGGAAATTCAATTCATGATGTGGAATCTACAAAGATGAAATAAGGTAGAATATGATACTGTCCTAGGCCTCAAGGCACTTAAAAATTCAGTACACTAAACTGTCAGGGACAAATTATAGCTCGATTAGAAATGAAGAAAAGTCATATTCAGAAGTATGACTAAATTACAAAAAAAAATAAGATATATTGCTACTTTTGACCAACTAGTACTCTTATCAATACCAAAACTTCTTCGTACCATTCCATTTTTGTAATTACTTCTATGTTCAATTTATGCAAAGTGAGATTTTAATATTAAAGGAATGTTCCCTAGAGTATGAATGAGATTATTTTGCAAGCTTATATTCATAAAACAAAAAAAGTAAAAAACAAAATAGGATACCTTATTCCATGATAACCATATAATACTCATTTTTTAGTCTAGATTTCAACCCATATTAAGACATCTTAACAACCAAAATAAACAGCAACTGAAATATAAGAGAAATTCAAATGATCCCATTTCTGCTCAACTACTTCAAAATATTTTTTAACACAATCCATGTATCCAGCATCACAGGGAACTTAGATTATTCATACAATCAATGTAGTATACTCCTATGCATACACAAGCAAAGCATGAAATTCTATTTTAAAGGTCAAGGAAATTTAAAGAAATAAAATACCTTTGTTATAGATTGAATTGTGTCCCCCCAAAATATGTGTTGTAATTCCTAACTTCTATGCCTGTGGTTGGAGCCCTGGTCACACTGGTTAAGAGCTTGGCTGCTAACCAAAAAGCCGGCAGTTGGAATCCACCAGCCACTCCTTGGAAACCCTATGGAACAGTTCTACTCTGTCCTATAGGGTCACTTATGAGTTCGAATCAACTCAACGGCAATGGGTTTGGTTTTTTTTCGTTTTTATGCCTGTGGTTATAATCCCATTTGAGAATGAGTTGTCTTTGTTAAATTAATGAGGCAGGATTACTGTAGGGTGTGTCTTGAGGCAATCTATTTTGAGATATAAAAGATTAAACAAGCAAGAGAGAGAAGCAGTGATGGGAGAAGAGAGATGCCAAGCCACATGAAGATCGCCCAGGAGCAGAAGCTCAAAACAGACAAGGACCTTCCTCCAGAGCTGACAGAGAAAGCCTTCTTCTAGAGCCAGCGCCTTGAATTCAGACTTCTAGCCTCCTAAACTGTGAGAAAATAAATTTCTGTTTGTTAAAGTCTTCCACTTGTGGTATTTCTGTTATAGCAGCACTTGTTAACTAAGACAACATTTATGGCAATAGTTTTATTTTTCTTTTAACATCATATAAATATACCTCACTGCTTCAGAAAGTTAAATTCATGTCCCTTAAACAGTACATGCTGTCCTACCTGTTTGCAGCATATTATAGCATAATTTACAGCATAAGGTAGTGTATTACACATTCAAATAAAAGTACTAATTTAGAGATTATGGAAATTACCAAATGATCCTAGAGCATGAGTGGATCCTTAGGATCCCTCAGCTTAGGAGGGGCCATCCCTGACTATCCCATCTATAAATTAGTGCCTCAGTCACTATCACATTACCCTGCTGTTTCCCAATTTTCATAGCACTTACCACTATCTGAAATTATCTTATTTCCTTGATTTTTGTCTGACTTCCTCCACGAAAATTTAAGCTCCATAAGCACAGGTCCCTTCTCAGTCTTTTTCATCACTGAATCCCCATTAGATAGAATAGTGTCTGCACACAATAGGCACTTGATAAAAGTATGGAATAAATGAATTAGGATAATTAGCTCAAACAATAAGGTAAACCGGAGAAAGAGAAAGAAATAGCAAGGAAGAAGGGAATTTAGAGATAGCCTCATGGGTGACCCTATTCTCAAAGAAACTAGTACCTCTAAACTGCAAAGGCAACCATTTATGAAGTGAGCAGTCCATATCCATATGATTAAACAAGAGTGCACAACATTTCTCACACCACAATTACCACCGTCAGCTAGGCGTTATTTTAAGGAAGCATTTGACTACAAGGCCACCCAACCACAAATCTACTGCCCCATACTTTACCATCAGGCATTACTGGTCCACTTCAGTTAATAATTTGTCAGTTGCAATAAGTTCAGACCTACCTTGTCTTCTCCATTTATATATACCACAGAAGTACTATTGACCCTTCTCCACTTTAGCCTCTTAGCAAACCCCATACACTCAGGGCTCTACTATCTGCACCTCACCAGTACTGTGCCAGAAATGTCGTTGATGGGAACGGCAAAAGTAAAAGAACAGATCCTGCCTTGTTTTTCAGATCCTAGCTGGTGGTTTACCCACCCATCAGTCCTTCACAAGATGTAAACTTCTGGTCAAAGCAGTAAGGGCGAGGTTTCTCATCCAGGCACATACCTACTACCTGTGAGTCACTTACCATCTCCGTGCCTCAGTTTCCTCATTTGTAAAATAGGGATAATCAGAGCAGCTTTCTCAAAGGGATTTTGTGAGGATTCAATTAGATAATGCATGTAGGGCAATTAGCATAGTACAGGGCATCAGAAGGCATCAATAAATGGGGGCAGCTTTTATTCTGATGATGATGATGACTATGAATTTCTGGAAGGCAGCGACAGTGCTTGGTTCCTGGTAAGATTCAGATGTAACTTAAAAACAGCTTCCTCATTTCGCTGCTTCCAGACCCCTCTGTCCATCAAATCAATCTCTAGGCGTCTTGCCAACTGCCTAAATTGGGGGGCAGGGAACTGATCCTACACTCAGCTAAAAAAAGCAGAGTGGGAACCACGTACCGGCATCAAGAGCGATCAAGAGAATTTGCTTTTTGCCCCAGAGTAGCAAAGGCTGAGTAAACAGCGCCCCTAGGGCCTTGGGTTGTGGTAACCGGCGTTCAGAAATGGCCAGTGCACCCCCTGGGGGCCCCTCCCTCTCCAGCACCGTGGGAGAAGAAACATGGCCCCAAACAGTTTTATCAACGGCAGGTGGTTTTCCGGCGTTGGGCCGGGTTGGCCAACGTTTATTTACCAGGGACCTCTGCCCTCACCCAAGTGCCCCATGCCCACCTCACCCAGCTTCTCAGATAAGCTCCCAAAGGCCCACCAGGCGGTGCCAGCATCCGAGCATCACCTCCGCGCCGGGTGCCGCCGACTCCTCGGGCTGCAGCCTCTCCACATTCGGAGCCTTTCAGGGGCTCGCGGCCCCGGAGGCCAGCACCTAATCTAGGGCTCGGTGTGGAGCCCGCCCTCAGCTCCTCAGGGCGCCAGTTCCGCCTCGCCCGGTACCTCTCAGGCCTGACCCGCTGAGGGTCGAACCCCTTCCTCACGCACACACCTGGTCCCTCACAGATCCGTCAGCTTTTCTCTCCTCGCTCCGGGCCTCGTCAGGAAGCAAGTGGTTCAACTGGTACTGACAGAGCGCAGCTCGGTCCTGCGCCGCCTTCTCCTCCTCCTCCCCGCCATACTACGGGTCTCAGGCGACAACGCGGGATCCTGGCAACCGCCACCGCTGCCACTGCCCGGACTCCACCTTCCAGGCAGGCACTTCCGGTGGTTGCTTCCCCGGCCGTTGTAATGTGCGGGTCTCCAGAAAAACTACAACCCCCGAGGTGCATTGCAAGCCTGGATACGTGCCCTCTCCCAATGAAGGAAGGCGTAGACTTTATGGCAAGCACGGTGCATGCTGGGAGACGTAGTCTTCACTGTAAGTAAAGGCCTCAAATTATAATTTATTACAGTAGGAACGCTCCTAAGAGTCTGAAGCCCCCTGAGGAAGTCCCTTAAAATTACCATTTTCTACTTATATGTATGGAGATAAAACTCTTCCTGTGTGGTCGTTGGACAACATACAACATTCACCAAAATTATTTCTCTATGGATAAAATATTGCTGAATCCACAGATGCCAGCTCTAAGCCCTAAAACATCCCTACCCTTTTACAAATCAGTGGGAAAAGATGTCCAAGGAGAAAGTTAACAGGTTCGAGATGACATAAAAAGCCCTGGATCTTTTGCCGAAGTTCTCTATCTAAACAATATACTACCAATTTTTCAAAATACGATTTAGTGGCCCCTTTCTCTCCCCTGTCCCTGGGTGATGCAAACAGTTAACTTGCTTGGCTGCTAACCAAAAGGTTGGAGGTTTGAGTCCATACAGAGGCATCTTGAAAAAAAGGCCTGGCAAGCTAGTTCTGAAAAATCAGCCTTTGAAAACCATATGGAGCACAGTTCTACTCTGGCAAACATGGGGTTGCCATAAATTAGAGGTGACCCTATAGCAACCTTTGTTTTTTTTCCCACCCCCTAACTTGGCTATATCTTGTCTCTCTTACTGCCCCTCCTTCCAGTGCCTATTTTTGCACATGTAAAATGGAGATTTTAAAAGTACCTATGACAAGATTGTTGTGGAGAACAATTGAAATAATCCTTACACAATGCCTACATAAACCCCAATTATTGGCCTCTAGTAGAAGGAGAAGTGAGATTGGGAGGAGTAGTAGCAGTGGAAAAGTCACAGGCCTAAAACTGGGGTGGCTTGAGGTCTGTCCTGATTCTTCCATTAACTGCTCCATTGACTTCACTGCTCCTGACCTCAGTTTCCTCATCCACGAGAATCATTAAAATCCCTTCCATCTTTGTAATCTGACTGTGCTTCTTTTGCTATGTTCTTTCATTTCCTCAGAATCTGAAAATCGCTTGTTAAGTCGACTGAAACCAGACTTCTGAGATAGTACCTACCTACTGAGGCTGTCTGAGAGTAAATCAGATAATGCATATATAGCGTTTGCTGAGCACAGTACCTGGGACATGGTAAGTGCACTATAAATGTTAGCTCTATTTACTAACACTATTATTTTTCCCCATTAGGATGTAAGCTCCACACGAGCAAGGACCCCGTCGGTCTTGTTCATTGCTGTGACCCCAGGACCTGGACCGGTGTTGGGCACATCTTGAATTCAATTGACTACATGAATAGGCTAAGCATTCTGCCCTTTGACCTCAGTTTTCTCCCGGATAGAATGAAGGCGTCACTAAGATTCCTTCTAGCCCTACAACCGTACGACGACTCTTCTATCCCGCCTTTTCTCTCCTACGGAGCCTGAAAGTTCACGTTAAGGTCTCAACCTTAGAAAAGCTAAAAGTCACTCTGGAACGTGAACCTGGGGCCAGGGCCCGCCTCCGTTGCCATGGCAGCGGCTCCGCCCGGAGCTCTGGAGATCCCGGGCTCTGATTGGCTAGACGTCAGTCCCTTTCTCCGAATGTGTCTGCCGCCGCCATTGTGCGGCGCTGGTCCCTCAGAGGGTGCCGGCTGGGGCGAACGCGTCGGGTTCTCACCCTCGCCTGTCGCTCTCCTGTCCGGGGAGCCCGGCGGGTCCGGGACTCCCGTCATTGCCGGTGCTGGCGCCGGCATGTGGCTGTGGGAGGAACAGGGAGGCCTCCTGGGCCCCTTCTCCTTCCTGCTGCTGCTGCTGCTGCTGGCGACGCGCAGCCCCTTCAGTGCTTGCCTCCTCACTGGCAGCCTCTACGTCCTGCTGCGCCTCTTCAGCTTTGAGCCAGTGCCCTCCCTCAGGGCCTTGCAAGTACTCAAGCCCCGAGGCCGCGTCGCCGCTATCGCCCACCGCGGCGGCGGCCACGACGCGCCTGAGAACACCCTGGCGGCCATCCGACAGGTGAGCCCCCCACGCCTCGCGCACCTCAGCCGCACCTGGGAGCTTGGACTTCTGTTTGGCCTTCCAAAGGTCCCCCAATCTCATGATAACCTTCCCAGTTATCTATTAGCTCTCAAGGAATGCATTCGGATGGCCCTTGTTCCTTCCCAGTATCTGGGACTCGCCCGACTTCAGGTATTTATAGATTACTTCAGCAGATATTTATAGAACGCCTGCTGTGTACCAGGCACTGAGGGTACAACCATGAACCAGGCAGGCAGGGTCCCTGCTTTTACGGAGCTTACATTGGAGTGGGGAAGACAGACCTTAAACAAGTAAATGAGATACTTTAAGAGGGCAAAAAGTGCAATGAAGAAATATGGTAATGGGGTAAAGAATGGCTGGAAGTTAGTATATGTGATATATTTAGATAGTGATATTTGAACTGAAACCGCAATTATGAGAAGGAGCCAGCCATGGGATCTGGGGGAAAGGTGTTCCAGGCAAAGGGAACAGCAAGTGCAAAAAGCCCTGAGGTGGGAATGATCTTTCTTGAGTGTCCAGGGAATAGAAGAGGCAGTTTGCAGCCTGAATTCAAGAAACAGAACAAAGGCCAGTGTGTGAATGAAGTAGGAAATGTGGCCAGGTCACACAGAGTCTTGGTCAATAGTTGAGTTTATTCTAAATGGAACACCTTTCACAGGAATGTGGTGCTTTGCTTGTCTTCTAAATGACTTTGTCACCTCTCTCTGTCTCTCTCTGTCTCTCTCTCTCTCTCTCTCACACACACACACACACACACACACACACACCCATACACACACACCCATCCCAAAAGCATACATTTGGACTCACACAACACTGATAATTTCGCCTGCCTTTTTCATAAGGCACTCACTCCTAGGACTGTTGATCCCTCCCAGCTCCTGGCAGTCTCCTGTCTTCATAATAACGACAACTTGCATAGTAAAAGAGCTTTTCAGTTGATCATGCATTTTTGCATCTGTGGAAATATATCTGATCCTCTCATTCCTTTGAGACATGACTTGCACAGTAAATGGATGGGAAAACTGAGACTCAAATGCATACATCTCCTCCAGATTTCAGCTTTCTGATTCCAAGCCCAGTGCCTTTTATCATAGTTTAGAATGTGTTCCAGGATGTAAAAACTGGAACCATCCTTTCTTTGTCCAGCTAGGGACAGACGATATTGTGTAATGAGCGAGTTACTTAAGTTTTCTGTGCCCCAGTGAGTGTCATAACTAGGGTGTGGCAAGCAAGGCACCTGAGTTGACACCTAATTTTGCACCGTGGGCACCTCTCCTCACCCTAGTCACAGCCCTAACCCCAGTTTCCCCATCTGTAAAATGGGAATAATATTGGTATCTACCTAATTAAAAATAAAAATAATTGCCATTGAGTCGATTCCAACTCATGGTGACCCCTTGTGTGTCAGAGTAAAACTGTGCTCCATAAGGTTTTCAATGGCTGATGTTTTTGGAAGTAGATCACCAGGCCTTTCTTTCGAGGTGCCTCTGGGTAGATTTGAACCTCCAACTTTCCTGTTAGCAGCCAAAGAAGTTAACCTTTTGCATCACCCAGGGACTTCATCTACCTAATACGTTGTGAGGATTCAATGTGGTAGTCCACGTAAACTGCCTGTCCCATGGTAAGAACTCCACAAATGTAACCTATTCTACCAGAAATCTAAAGTTAGCATGACTCTTTAAAATTGCTTTGGTGTAAAGGTAAAAAAAAAATTAAGTGTGAAGAGAGATGGAGGTCAGGCAACCTTTGAGTCAGTGGAAGATATCTGAATTTTTATTTTTCAACCAAGTTAGTGGTGCAACGGTTAAACACTTGGCTGCTTACCAAAAGGTTGGTGGTTTGAACCCACCCAGAGGCTCCACGGGAGGAAAGATCTGGAGATCTGCTGTGGTAAAAGTTGTTGTTAGGCGCTGTGGAGTTGATTTTGACTCATAGCAATCCCATATGACAAGTTGAACTTCCCCATAGGGTTTCCTAGGCTGTGGAGTTGATTTTGACTCATAGCAATCCCATATGACAAGTAGAACTTCCCCACAGGGTTTCCTAGGCTGTAATCTTTACAGGAGCAGATTGCCAGGTCTTTTCTCCCACAGAACCACTGGGTGGGTTTGAACTGCCAACCTTTTGGTTAGCAGCTAAGCACTTAACCGTTGCACCACCCTAGAAAACCCTATGTGGCAGTTCTGCTCTGTCACATGGGGTCTCTATGAGTCGGAATCAACTCAACAGCACCTAAGAACAACAAACTTCTATTATGTTTCTCTCCCCTTGGCTCTTTGTGATGGAAGGGAGACAGAATAGCTTTTCTAGCTTCTGTTTAAAAATAATTCTAAAGATATTGAAGAATGTTATTTTACATTCTAAACTTAAACTCAGAGAGGTCAGATGAAGTAACATAGATGCACAAGAGGTAGTATTGTCATGAAAAGAAAGATGGTATTTACTACAGGAAAAAAGCACATAATTGTCACTGGCTTCAATCTCAGCTTACCTTTAGTTAAGTTTACATAAAATATAGCTCAGTGTTCATTGAGTACTGAAGGTATTCAGTAAGTATGTCCTGATGGATGTGGTGTTGTGGACAGGAGCATGTCTTGTTGAATATAAGTCATATTACATGATTAAGGAAGTAAAAACCCAAACCTACTGCTGTCAAGTCAATCTCAATTCATAGCGACCCTATATGACGGTGTAGAACTGCCCCATAGGGTTTCCAAGGCTGTAAGTCTTTACGGAAGCAAACTGCCACAGCTTTTTCTTGTGGAGTGGCTGGTAGGTTGGAACCGCCAACCTTGCGGTTAGCAGCCGAGCTCTTTAACCACCGTGCGACCAGGGCTCCAATTAAGGAATTATGTATGTGAAACACACATAGGCATATAGTGGTTCACATCCTGTTGTGTTGCAAGGGAATTATAGCGAAATTCCATTCATGTCTTGTACATTTCTGTTGAGCATGTCTTTAATAAGTGTAATAATGATAATAATCATTGCACCAAATTGATTCCTGTTCTTAAGAAGAAATAAGATGTGGTAATTCAGCTTGTTAGAATGTAAATATTATCAATAAACTTTTTAGTCATAACAGTAATTAACTGCCAGATACAGCCTGCACAAGACAAGGTTGTGTCCTTCCTTGATGTCAAAAGAAATACGTAGTTTATTTCCATCTGGGCTTGTTTTTGTCCTGTTCTTCCTCCCTTTGCATGTGTTCCGCTCATTACTTACATTCTTAAATATTTCACTATGTAAAAAAAATCACAGAAGACCTTCTGATGGTGGAATTTCTGCTAGATTATAAACTAGATATAGAAGGAAAAATTTAACAGATGGGAAATGGATGTATCCCGAAAACAGATACACTGTTATAAACAGTGGCAAAAGAATGGAATTATACCCACACAGTCCATTCTCCACATAGTGGCCAGAGTGCAGCTTTAAAGGCATAAATCAGATTGCTTTATTTAGAGCCCTCTAAAAGTTCCTGTTGCAATTAGGTAAAATACAGTTGCTTTTCAATCTTGAACTTTTCCCAAAGCCCCTGCTCACTCTGTTCTGTCCACTCTAGGTGTTTATTAAGATGTTTTTGGCTTCATGTAAAAGAAAATCAATTTAAAATATCTCACATAACGAGAGGTATGTGTGGGAAGGATGGCCTCCACGATGGCTAATTGAGCTGCTCAATTTATGGTCATCCAAGATCCAGGTTCTTTTGATCTATCTGCCACCTGCAGCATATTTGCTAGCCCTCGTTGTAGTTACGAGGTCGCCACTGCAACCTGAGGCATCACCTTCTTACACACTAGCATCCAATCTTAAGATTCCACTCCCTCTTCCTTATTCTTTCCCAGAAGCTGCCACCCACCCACCCACACAGGGTTTGGAAATAGGTCACTTACTCTGAGCACAGGAGAAACTGAACACTGGGGCAACAACAGGCCTCTACCAGCAGGAAAGAAGAAGGGGAATAGATTTGGATAGGCAGGCAACACTTTCTGCCACCCTGGGTGGCTCATTCCCACCCTGTGATCTTTGCATTGTACTTGCCATTTCTTCTGCTTGGAAACTCTTCCCGCAGATCTTTGCATGACTGGTTCCGTTTGATCAACTGAGGTCTCAATTCAAATGTCATATTCTCAGAGAGGTCTTCTCTGGCTGCCTAGTCTAGTGACCCCACCTACCTTCACCTTCACCTTCCCCTCTATTTTCTTCTTCAAAACATTTATCACTGCTGTAACTTAATTATAAACACGTTTGTAATCTCTTTCTCCATACAATGTAAGATCCATAAGGGCAGAGACATTTTCTTTCTTATTCACTACTATCCTCACTGCCTAGACAGTGCCTAATACATAGTAGAACCAAAACCCGTTGCTGTCTAGTCGATTTCAACTCATAGTGACTCTACAGGACAGCATAGAACTGCCCCATAGGGTTTCCAAGGAGCAACTGGTGGATTCAAACTGCCGACCTTTTGGTTAGCAGACGAGTTCTTTAAGCACTGCGCCATCAGGGCTCCATAGACACTCAGTAAATATTTGTTGAACGATTGTGATGTACAAATAGCCAATACACACATGTGAAAAGATTCTCAGCATTATTAGCCATCAGGGAAATGCAAATCAAAACCACAATTAGATACCACTTTATACCCACTAGAATGGCTGTACAGGTAGCCCCCAACTTACAATGTATTCAAGTTACAACAAACTGCACTTACAACTGTCTTTTTTTTTAAAACATCTTATCATTAGTAATATGTATTGCATACAATGTTGCAGTGCAGTTTGCTGATGTTATCATTGTCACATGTTCACTCACAAATGTTCAATGTTATGATTTACTGTTCAAAACACTGCCATATAGCAGGCAGTAATGAAAACCAAAAAAAAAAAAGGTATTCAACTTAGTCAGAACCCACTTACAACAGAGTCGTTGGAACAGAACCTCATCGTAAGTCGGGAACTACCTGTAATCAAAAAGACAGACAATAACAGTTATTGGTGAGGATGTGGAGACATTGGAACCTTCATTCACTGCTAGTGGGAAAACAGTCTGACAGTTCCTCAAAAGGTTAGTTACCATGTGACCCAGCAATTCCACTCGTAGGTATATATCCAAGAGAATTGAAAACCTATGTCCACACAGAAACTTGTACATGAATATTTATAACAACGTTATTCATATTATAGGGGTAGATATTAAAAAGATACTTTTCAATGAAACATTTTGAAAGCTGCAATGAATTTGTTAGTGCAAACTTTTTAAAAAATCAACTTTATTAAGTAAAATTTACATATAAGAAAATACACACATTTTAAGTGTACAGTTTGATGAGTCTTAAAAGTATATACATCTGGGTAACCACCACCTCAATCCATTTCTATCACCCAGAAAGTTCCTTTGTGCCCCCTTTAGAGTTAACCCCATCCCCACCTCTGCCCCAAAGACAACCATTAATCTGATTTCTATTACTATACTATTTTATTACTTAACTATTACTATAGTTTCAAACAAATATTTTAAATAAAATTTAATAAAATTGCCACTTTATGTAAACTGATTTATGTGAAATACCCTTATGATAAGATAAATTTCCCTAGATGAATAAAAAGGTGAGTATGACGTGTATACTAATATG